GGATGGTTAGCCCTGTGTGTTTAGACCTATGCCCTGAGCTTTGATTTTTCAGAGATAATATGGGTATGGTGAATGCAAGGAGTGCATAAGGTAGGGATAAATTAAATCCCAGTAGGGTGGTGTCCTGCAGGTTACAATTTGAATCTGAGCCATATTAGCAGGAGTTAATCAGCTCCACCTTGAGACTTGACCAGACAAGTTGCTGAATTAGAGTTGTGTAGGTAGTGTTGTGCCTCTGGTGATTAAGGGAGAGGGGGTTTTTGTTTATGTGTGTTTATGTACGTGTACTTTATGCCTCTGCTAGGACCGCACCTCAAAGAGATAAGACATCCTTCTGACAAACAAAGCAGCACCAGCTGTCTCTTGGATGGTTAAGATAAAGAATGAGCCAATATCAGAGCTAATACAACTCAATTAGTTTTCAGGCATTTCCCCATTCTCCCCTTTCCCTCCTTCCCAAAGAAAGAGTAACTAATGAAGTCCCTGCCAAGCACTGTGAGGGTAGTGGCATTTGCCTGGCTCTCTGGCTTCTCATGCTGTACTGCACAGCTTACCTCCTCATAGAGAAGGGCTGCTGTGAGACACATGGTTGTCCTTCTACCAAGGGTAAAACAATTATTTTGTTGGTTAAGATCTGTTAATGACAAATTTCTGCTGCTTGTTTTCACAAGACTCAGTAAAGGTAATCCCTGTGTCATCAGCCAGTTCTGGCCTTGTGCGCTCTCATCTCTGCAGGCAGAACTTCTTGTTCTTTTCAGCTTGCCACAGGGGAGGCTGGAGGTGACCAAAACTGAAGAAGATTGTCATCCTTACCTCTCCAGAATGTCAGCTGCCAGCTATGAGCCAGCAGTATGGAGAGAGATGATTTCTCATGCATAAAAAAGTAATAGTAAAAGAAGGCTTTACCCTTTACCCATGAGGAGTGACTAAGCAGGAGAAGGGCATGGCAGAGTAATCCTGTAATCCTCTCCAGATTTCTATTGGGAGACATCTTGTCCTAAAGATCAGCACAGTCATTGAAATAATGCAGAGTAATCAGTCTCATCTTCCCCCAGCCCCCATCCTTGCTCCTGGCTATTAGCAAATTAGCAAAATCTTCCCAAGCTTCTGCCTGAGACCTACTGTGTCATTATTTAAAGAAGGGGGGAAAAAAAGGCTAATCTCTGCCTCATTTCTTATCATTCCCTAGCTTCGCCCCCTTTGTTACTACCAGTGAGTCATACTTCACCTTTCCCTTAGTCTGCTTCTCCCACATGCGCTCCTCTACTGGCTTTCCTGCCACCCCTCGCTCCTGCAGTGAATTCTCTGCTCCTTTGCATGAGAAATATCATTTTCCAAACCCATATTTTAAATTCAGGTCTTACACAAGGTTACATCCTATTCCTAAGAGTAAAGATGGCCTTTATTTACTCTCTGCACAAGCACCACTGATAAAAATGGAGACGTTGCCCTTTTTTTTTCCCAGTAGTTCATTACTATGCATACTGACAAGGTATGTTTAAGCTGATGAACTGATTGAGTACAAATACCACATTTTATGGAACAAGAAAAAAAGTACTTGTGATAGATGTGCCCAAAACATAAATGCTAAATTCCTGGGGGCAGATGCTCATTGTGGATTTGCAGCTTGTCTCATAATTTAGATTTGGGTTTTCATCCTGGTAGTGAGCTTCAAAGCAGGGAAAAAATCATGGGACAAGCAGTTGCTTTAATCACAGTTAGACTTGCTGCTAAAACTTTATTTGCAAGAACATTTACTGCAATATGAGAGCAACATTGTAACATGGGAAAATAATACAAACACACTTTTCTGGGAATAGAGTGAAATCAAGGAAAAATCCAGTGCTGGGAAGGAAGTTAAGGCCATGAATCAACAGTCTCTGAAAGCAGCTGAGCTGCTACTGTTAGTTATGCTAACAGCATGTGCAAAATCCATAGGAGCAGAACTGGTTTCAGAGAACATGAGAACAATTTTCCAACACATCACTGAGTTTGTTGTGGGATTCAGCTGAGTAGGTTTTGTCGTCATTCATTCATACTGTTTTAAAAGTGTGCTAAAGCAGGGAACATATGTTCAAAGTTCTTTTCATAGCTTTAGTTTGGGACATTTGAAATTTGGCATCCAAAGGTTATTAGTGAAATTCTGTCTTCCAAGTAGGTGAACATATATGTATTTCATTGTAAATTCACGTTGCTCAGAAATGTGACTACCTTTTGGGTACTGTTAGAACAAGCGTGGTACAGTGGATGTCAGGTGTGTGCTCATAACAGCAGAAGTACTTGGAGTCTGATGAAACAGGTTCTGCTGCTGTGCATTTCTTCATTATGGCAAACGCGCTACTAGTGGGAATGGGAACATTAGCAATGTAAGACCCACATTCTTCCTTTACTTCTGGTTATCAAGCTGGGTCATAAGATGACTATGCTCTCATTGTATGACCTGGGATGTTGTCTTATATACACAGGACAGCTGGAGTGGGAGCTTCAGGCTCCTAATCCTGCCTAGAAAATACATCCTTGTCTAGAAGTAGTACTTCATGCAAACAGTTTACTTCTACAGTGTTAATTTTTAAGGATCTGATCCTGATGATGATAATTATTTGGCTACAGTATTTTTTTGGTCAGATCAGTTTCCTGTCCTAGCCATTTATGCTGCCACCACAAAGAGATGGAACTATGCAGCCAGGGATGTGGGGAGTTGAAACTCCTGTGTCTGACAGCAGACAGTTACTTGCTTGACTTAAAAAGACTGGGAACATGCTCTTGTAGTGACTGATGTCTTCAGCACCAACCAAGCTAATTTTATTTGGGCAATTAACGTGTCCCAGAGGACTTAATATGAGCCTGGTGCCAGCTAGTCTGAGACTTACTTGTGTTCAGTTATGTCTCACTAAAGATATGAGAAATGCCAGTGATCAGTTAAGAAACTACTGAACTGATCAGATCTGAGACACTAACTTATTTGGCTCTTGCTTGCTGCAAGATACAGAGGCCTAATTTTTCACAAATCAGTCACTGAATGTTTAAACATAGGCAAAACTGCTTTGCTTTGGTTTTCCTGCTCCCCTTGATCTGATTTTCAGAAATATCCAGAGCACATTAGCTCTGTTTTTCCAAACAAAGCAAAAGCATGAGTTTAGTTTCAGTCACATCAGTTAAAACTTGAGAGAGTTCTTCATTGCAAGGTCCTAACTTGGAAAGAGTTAGGTCCTAAGAGTCTAATTGCAAGGTCCTAACATGGAAAGCAGCAAACCATCTGCTTCTAGGCTGTTTTTTTATAGTACATCAGTCTTTCATCTGCTGAGTTGGAGATGATACTGTGGTATGAATCCAGAAGGCATCACACAGGTTGTTTTACACAGAAGAGTTACAGAGCTGTTGAAGACATGGGTTTGTATTGTTAGGATAGTCACACTTCCTAGGCTGGGAGCACCACTCATCCCAGAGATGAGGTATGTATCCTTCCAGCTTACACATCACAACAGTGTTTGGGTTCCTCTTATTTGTCGTTGCTCAGGATAGAGGCAGTGTTTCATGGCTCTGAAGGACTTCTTAACCTTGGCACGCTGTGGAGGAATTGTGCCTAAGCTTTTTTTGCCTGGTGAAGGCTCTGTGCAGTATCCTTGTAGCTAGGCTCCTTAAAACGGCACCAGAATCTGAAAATGAAGACTGTAAGCTGGTGCTTGCACAGCAGCTGATGACTGAAAGCCTTTGGGGTTGTATCCTATGTTGAATTCAGCCCTCTTAAGGGTGTAAGCCAGAGTTAGGCAGTTCATAGTGAACAAGGAAACTGTGGTTAATGGTCTTCCATGTGCCTAAGCATCCTGCAAAGAAAATACATGTTCTTCCAGAAAAATGTAGGAACTCATTTAATTTAAAATGTTGACTGTTGAATTCTTTCAGGGTGCATATATGTTACGTGATGTGCTCCAAAAGCAGTTGGAGTTGGCTTGCTAAGAACAATGGTGTTGCTCTGGGAAAGGTAGTTTTGGCATGTGCCTTTGAAGTGAACTGAATTCTGCTGCCTAGTGCACCTCTGAGTTTTATTTAGAAGTAAAGATGCATGTGCTACCCTCAAAGGTAATTTTTGTCTCCCTTTGAAAAGTTTCCATGCTTAACTGTCTCTTTCTGGGGCAATTAAATCAATCTCGTAGACAGCAGCCTCCTTCTTCTGCGTGACTCATGCTATCGTGGCTGCTCATCTGAGGTGCAGAATCTTGTGAAATGCATTTTTTACTATCTAAATGTATGACATGAACTGATTTTGCCTTATCAGCTATGACAGTAATATCTTCTCAAAATGCCAGCAAGTTGGTTAAGCAATACTTCCCAGCCCTACAGCTCCTACTTCCATAGATGACTTAAATCAAATTGTTTGTTTAGCAGGTTTCTTAATTACCTCCTTAAAATAGTTCCTCTGGGCTTCTTCATACCCAGTATTGAATACACTAATCTGCAGTTTCATGTTGATTGTTTGGGATTTTTTTTTTTTTAAGAAGAAATGACATTTCACTCTTTTTTGCATTCTTAGGACTCTCTTAAAAAAGTTATGGAAAATGTAATGCTTGCTTTGCCAGTTTCAGTGTTGGTGATTATTACTTGTGAAAGACTCTATTTACTTCTAAGCAGAATTCTTATATTTATGCACACAAATAGATGTTTGCATCATTGCTCCTTCTGCATTGCGGAATTCACCTCAAGTAAGGCAAAAACTCAACCTTCTTTCTTTGCAACTACAAAGTTCATAGCAGTTAATTTATCTAATCCCCAGTGCAAGCTCTTTAGGTTTTTTTTTCAGTCATGCTTCTCTATTTCATGAGCCTGTTACCTCCTGAAAATATACGTGAGAAAACCTTTAATGATGTTGGGTTTGTTTATTGATATGTTACTTAGTAGGAATTCTCCAGTCCAGATATTGTGGAGGATAAGCCCTGTCCTGAAGCTTGTAATATAATTCTCAAAAATCTGCTGACAGTGAGTAACAGAGGAATGTTTTGCAGGTTGTGCCTCCTTGTCCAGGATGCCTATGGTATGTTCAGTGAAGTGCAGTTGCAGCCCCTGAATTCTGTGGATGACGTTGAGCAGTATTGCAGGAGATGGGAAGGAAAATTCTGCTGCTTAGCTGGAATGAAAACTTTGCAAAGAACTACAAGAGGAAGGTGAGAACAATTCATGGGAGAACATATTGCATGCTGTGATCTGCCTTTTTGTTTATTTCTGTGATCAATATTCTTTGGAACGACTGAATCTGGCTTTGTTCGGTTAAAAGTCCTCATTGCCATTTTGGGGGCATCAGTAGTACTTGAGCCAATCCTACTCCAAAGCTAGCACACATGCTTAGCAGAGAAGGGAATAGTGAAGAGTGACCATATGCAATATTTCATAAAATATGAGTGTTTTCTTTCTCTTCAGTAGATCCAAGGACTTAAGAACATTAGTTTGCCTCCCTTTCATTGCAGAATGTTTGCTACAGTAAGATTTTCTACAGTGCTACCCAGTATGGGATGAAGCTTCAAGCACAGACTTTCCCTTAGTGTTTGAGAGCTTAATTCAGTTGATTCTCTATGGGTTTGGAAGCACAGTTTATGCTTCTTAAAAAAAAAAAATCTTGTAAATCCTAAAGGCATTCTTATTTTGGAATAAGAATGTCCACAGATTTATAGAAAATCCTCTCAGATAATAACAAATTGATTTATGGTATCTCTCAGATTTTGCTTATTCTGTGATTCCTTTTACATTCTTTGAATAAAATAAAATATCTTTAATCAAGAAAAAAATCAAATAGATCACGTATCTTACAGAGTGTCTTTCTAAGGAAAGTGACATGTTGTTCACATAGGGACCTATATAAATATAATTAGATTGGCTCAATTCTCAACATAATTTTCTCATAAAAGCATCCGATCTAGATAAGCTTTTGCTATTAGAATGGCTATAGTATTTCTGCTGACACTTTTTTTTTCTTGGTGAAAAATGCTGTTTCATCAAAACCAGAATGTTTCTTGGAAACATTATCTATTTTGGAGACAATTTTGTTGGGAAGATTTTTTTCAGGTCCAGAAGGAGTGAATTTTCTCTCTCTCATTCTCATTTCATGAAAACTTTCAGAAAGTCTCATTTTTGTTTCATATTGGAACAAAAACAAATTTCAAAGCTTTGAAATGTTTAGCAAAATGGAATTGCTGGTTTCCAGCCAGCTCTATTCAGTACGCTTTTCTTTTTATGTACTTGCAGTGTTAATTTTCAGATCCTTTGGATTTCAAGCCTACTTGCATTTTTATGGATCTTTAATAACAAACAAGTCTTCTTATTTAATTATTTTGTTGGCTTTTTTTCCAAGTTACATTTTTTCCAAACAAATTAAATAATGGCTTTGGAATTCTGGATACAAATGAAGTTTTACAACTGGCTGCTGGTGTTTCCAGTACTCTGCCTAGCTAATAAGAGACAGACTTTTTCTAGTGTAAATTCTGTTTCAAAGCAGCAGTAACTTACTTCTGGCTATTCTGAGGACGATTAGAAGACACACTGCTGAAAATGCCTGTGGCTCAGCTGGAGCTGTGCTGGTGGTAACCCTGCTAGGAAACACTAAAAGAAAAAGGCTAGTGTAGCTTCAAGGACAGCGTAGTGGTTAAAACGTGATTTCATTGTACAAGATGGGTGGGTGGGGGAGTTGTTCAGGGATTCATTTTTTTTCTCAATTGTTTAAGCCCAAGTTCTGCTTTATAACTTCTTATTACTGTTAAGTGTTGGGGCACATTTTATGTCATTCTAGGTGTGATGGAAACCACAGTAAAGCCATAGCTGAAATTAATATAAGGGAGTACTTACTCCAACAGAGCATAATTAAGACTGTAGAACTCATTGCCACTGGGTAAATGGGTTTCCAGAGCCAGTGGTATATCTGAGCACATGATGGGATATGCCTGTGAGTGCCCAACCTTGGCTTGCAGCACATGAGCGAATAAGAACTATGTGGTCTGCCTTGCAAGAAAGACGGCAGCCTTGTTTTTCTCTTTTGAGAGTGCAAATTACTTTTTGGAAGGAGGTGGCTTTGAAACTGTCTTCTGGAGTCTGACAGTGGCTTTTAAAAAGGATAAAAGGGAATAAAATATAGGAAGTATGAGGGAAAAGTAATGACTTTTCTTTTTTTTTTTTTTGCCTTTGAAGTGCATGATCTGGAGAAAGCCAGGAATGGCTAGTAAGATCTCCTATATGCATGTTGTCCCACAGTCACTTGGATTGTAACCTCTTTTTATAGCAACAAAGTGCTTCCTCAGTCCCTCCATGAGACAGAGGAGATTTGTGTTTAACAGATACTAGAGGTTCTCAAGGTTTTTGTATCAGTGGACCCCTGTTATTCAAAAAAACTTCAAGTCCATCATCCATCCTCATTATCAAGTTCATAATGTAAAGTACTGCTTAGCATCATTCCAGTAAATGCATTTATAAATCACTGTTGTGAGCTAAAATTACTTTTCAAGGACTAAAAACCTGTAAGAAGAGGTATTTTACATCCAGCTGAAAACTTGGCTATAAATCTGACTTGGTCTTTGGAATGAACCTGTACTGTAAGATGTGCTAAAGAAACTAAACCCTTTTCTTCTCCCAGTAAGAATACACTGAATTCAAAAAAAAAACCCAAGTGGGATAAGAACTTACATAACAAGTCCTGTCTTGACCAAGATCAACCCTGTGAAAATTAGAATTCTGGTAGTCTTACATTGAGGGAAACACTGTTAATGTTGAATATTGCTTTTCAGTATCAATATCTTTTAACAAGTACAAGGGTCATTTGAAGGTCTTTCATTGATTTAGGTGGGTTTCAGAAGAAGTCCCATACTCCACATAAAACATACTCTCCAAAACCATCTCTGCAAGAAATTCTTCCCTTTGTAGTCCAGACTGACATTTCTGTCAGTCCATGGGCATGGCTGAGTCACATCAAAGTTTTCATGGCTTGTTCAGTGTCTTTATTTCTAGCAGTTCTTCTGGTCTGTTCATGAGGCTGTTGAATAAGGTAGGAACCAATATTGTAGCAGCCAAATTAACACCATGTCCAGTATCTGTTTCTTGACACCTTTTCTCTTCACTCTGTCGTTCATAATTGTCTCTTAGCCTTTCTACAACTGTTCCCTGAGCTGCACACTTAGTACCAGCGAAAAAGAAATATATGGTGGTTTAAAGAGAGACTAAAAAATGTTCATTGGCCTGCCAGGGGTGCTGTCGGCTCCTTAGAGGTGTATGTTCTCTCTCTTGTCCTCCCACTGCTCATATGTCATCCTTATAAATTCAGCCCCTTGAGAAAGAAGTGAGGTTTTGGTGGTGTAATGCTAGAGGCAGGACTTTTGGTTAAGAATCTGTATGCAGTACAACTAACATGCAATCCCCCTTTTTTAATAGATCCCAGGCATGTTTCAGGTATGTCTGGTGTAACCAGTAACTAAGTGGGTGCAATTAAATGCAGAGACTCAGCGTTCACTAAAATGCCTCGGGAGTAAATAGCCTATAAATTGTCATAGCCTGCTGCTTCCTATCAGAAATCAGTTTCAATGAGCTGGGATAACTTTGTAGTTAGGTATCTGTCTGTATTGAAAAAAAAACCCCAATGTCTATGTTTTTAGCTATGTCTGGAGTTCCACATAGAATAATAATTTGGATTTTGACAATTCGTGTCTTTTCGCCTGATTTGCCAAGGACTGAGTTGTTTTCCTGCCCAGTATAGCAGACCTGTCTGCTTCTTCTCTTTATGCTTTCTTACATGGTAGAAATATGAAGAGCTTCTACCCAGCAGAACAGAAGGATGGCACCAATTTAAAAATGGAGGGGGGAGGAAGAAATGCTTTTAAGTTAATACACAACTAATGCAGGGTGTCAGTATGAATTTTGTCCCTAAATTGAAAAAATGCTTAACAATCTTCAGAGGGAGATGCAACTGCTGCATGGATAGTGCTAATACCCACACGTATGTTGGATAGAGTAGAACGCTTTGAAGAGTACAGCAACTCATAAGCTTTGGCACTTGACCTAATCTTTAATTCATGGCAGACTGTACTATCTGTTGCATTTTCTTCTACAGTAAGAAGACTCTGAATATTGAGTTCATCAACCAGTGTTATGATTCTCTGAGAAATTTCTGCATTTTCTGATGAAGTTGGCTTCTGTTACTTGTCATTTTAAACTTTCAAATCTTAGGCACTGACATGTGAAATCTCCTGTATTTGCCTGTAGTGTTGGTCACTTATTGTGTCTGAGGTTTTCTTTCTTCCTTTTGTTTCTTTTAAGTCCCATATTCTCTGGCCTTTATCTCTCTCCTTTTTCCTCTTCATCATATGCTTTCTCTTCTTTTTGCTTTACACTGAGAAGAGAGGACTGCTAACTGCTATACAAGAAAGTGTTTCAAGTGCTAGACGTTGACAGGGAATATAATAGTAAGAACTCTCCACAGAGCAAGGAAGTCGTAACTTCCTTCCTTTGGTTTTCCCTCCTCCAAAAAGACTGCCATCTGAAAGAGCCACCCACATCTCTGAGGTTTTGAGGTCCTGAAACACTTTGATAATTGCTGTGGTTAAAATAGAGTTCCATTTAAAGCATATTTTCAGTAATCACATTGAAGTTTTGAATATTTGCATTACTTTTTTATGATTTTTGATGACTGCTGATCAGAAATTAGCATTTTTCATGGGTTTTCTTCTCTTTAGCAAGCATAGACTGCTGCTTGTACCTTCAGTGCTTCTGTCAGGAATCTCTTTAGTTACCAGCCTTGGAGGATAACATAGGATTATCCATATTGAATTAAAAGTACTCTTATATTATAATTTCTGTGCTTTAATATAGTATGTATAACTTCTGTTTGCATTTTGACTGAGATGCTGATTTAGTAGGCTTAGATTTTTACTTTATGATTTTGTTGCTTTTATTGTTGAGTCTGAGAAAATACGGTGTTGCATAGGTTGTGCACTGCAAGATCTTAACAGGTCGGTTAAAAGGAGAGGTAGCCTACAGTATTAGCTTTATATTTGGATTGCTTGTCTTTTGATACTTGAAGCTTATGCAGTCTAGGTGGTTATTACTAAATTTCTTATTAGTTTTGAGTAAGGAGAGATTGCACAGAGGGCTATGAATTGCTTAATTTTTGACTTCTTAATAATTGAAACTGAAACTGCCCGAAGAAAAATGTTTTGGTTTAGACTAAACATAAGAAAGTAGGAGAGGAGGAAACAGGGAAGTCTTGGAGTCCTCAGAGCAAAGCCATGGAAGACCTTGGAGGAGAATCCTATCATCTTTTTTCCTGTCCCCCTACTGTAAACCTAGACTTTCTTCTTTGCCTAGTTATAGGCATTGTTTTCCTTCTGTTTTCTTTGATATTTGTGATATTTTCTCCCTGTAGTAATATTCCGCTGAACCTGTGGTATGGTTAATAAAATTGAAAAGTCCCCAAACTATAAGCAGTGATGTTAAAAGTTGAATCAGGCAGGTCACACACAAAGTTCATAGACCAGAACTGTAGATTTCTCTCATTCATGCTTCTGAGAGAAATAAACAAAACCGTCTTAACTAAGTTACAAAATAAGTTGTCAGATCAGAGTCAGTGAAACAGTTTTGAAAAACCAAAATTAGAAGTTGTTTGATTTTTGTCTTATAGCTTGTAGGATGAAATGAATGACATTTCCACAGGATCAGAGTAGGTGTGCTGATACTGTAGATACTGCTTTATCACTTTACTGGATGCTTAAATATAATTACAATGGCTTTTCTCTCTATTTGCTGTTTTTATCAGAAATCATAGAGTTAACATGTAAATGCATGTGTACACACATGAATATATGCTGTTTGACTTTGCAGTGAAGGGTAAAACAACCTAGAAAGATTAGAAGCAGAATCATAGAATCAGAGAACGGTTTGGGTTGGAGGGGACCTTAAATATTAAGATCCCTTAAAGATTAAATATTTCAGGAAGAAGGTCAGCAAAACCTCCACCTTAGACTTCCAGAGGGCCTGTATGTAAAGGACTGCCTGTTGCAAGTCCCTGCTTCTATGGAATACTATGCTGTAACACTCCATTGGAGTTACTGGTGGTCTTATTGTGTTGGTGATAAGCAGCAGACATCTAGATACTTAGTATGGGACAAAAAAGTTTTTACCAAATGTAGATTTCAGTCTGGCATGACAAGTAGGGTGTTGAGTCTGTCATTTAGAATCCAATAGGTGATTTGTGTCCTTCTCCAACAATTGTTCAGTCTTTTCTATTTTTAAAGAAAGGTTATGGAATATTACAGTAGAGTCCTTGTCTCTGAAGTAAAAAATATATAAAAAATGTTATTCAAAATACCTTACATGTTGATTTTCTTTTTTATCCTTGGGCCGGTTTCATCTCGCTTCTTAGTCTACTTCTTTTTTGGAAGTCCTTTTGTGATTAAATTTTTTTAAATGACCAGTAATTACACTCACAGAGCAAACTGTAGCCAGAGATGCTCTTTGTGCACATGGGAGCTAACCATGTCCCTTTGCTGTGGCACAGAGCCAGCTGTTCATCTCTTGGCCTGACTCTATAGCTGAAGAAGGGTACACATTCTGGATAAAATGCACCCATTCTTAAAGTCAGATTGAAGTGGTGTGTGTGTATATATATATATACATATATGTATCTAATTTTCTTTATTGGCTGAATATATATGTATTAATTTTATTCTTTCTATGAGGATAGTGATTTTCGACAGAGGAGGACACAATGCTTGCCATTTCTCTGTTGTCATTGCCCCCACCTTATTTCTCCTTCTGCTAAGTCAAAGACCCTAAATGTAAAGAGAGACTTAGCTTTCCTGGAGGTGTATAAATGAGTGCAGCAAGAGGGAAACTCCTCACCAGAGATACTGACTGATACAGTGACAGCCCCAGGAGGGAACATCCATCCCCTTTGGTAGACCAGGATGCCGGTAGGGTGTGATTTGGAACTTGCAGGTCCTTCGGGTGACTGTCAAAGAAAAGGATGGGTCCAAGATGTTCAGGAGACACTCCACACAACGCTGCTCCTCTGCCTGTTTCTAAACAAATGCTGTCATTTACTAATAATTAAGTGCTCCTAGTTCAAGCAGTAGATGGCCTTCTCCAAAGGTCAGGAGTAATAAAAGAAAATGCACTGTATGCCTTAGGTATTCTGATATGGGGTAGCGAGCTGGAAGAGTTAAAGCAGAAGGGAGTACGTCATGTCTCCTGTGAAAACTTGAAAGTAGAGATGTGGGATCAGTGTAACTTTGGTGTGGAGCTGTGATTGTATGTGCACTGCAATAATATAGCTTAGTTGCTCTAAGCTGATAAATATGCAATCTCTGTACCCACACAAACAGAGTCTGTGGTACATTCATATCTGTGTTCTGGCCTTGCCCTCATACTGCATGTCGTATGAGGAAGGTCACTTCTGTAACTGTTGCAATTGTACAGGAGGCTACGCTCTCTTTTTGTAACCCTCCTTCTTACATGTCGCAGTTAGCAAGACTAGTTTGTTCCTCTGGGCATTAGCCCTCCTGTGAGGATATCGTTCAATATGATCCAAGCCAAAAAATCTTGCCCCGATCAAGGATTCAAGAAGTGGCCAATTTGCTGTTAAGTCTCTCTAATACCTAAGAAGAGTTGCCTTCTATGTTGTAATGTTCTCTCTGTTAAAACAAAAAAAAAAACTAAAACAAACAAACAAAAAGAAACCCTAAAACACCAGCCTCTGAGCTAAGCGTTCTCCTTTGCAGACTCAGCAGTGATGCCATACAAGTCAGGAAGTTAATTTCTGTGAAAGAGCAGCTTGTTTGTGTTTCTGGTCTTTTTATTAGTGTGGAGAGCACAGCTACAGGCAGCAACATCATCTTTGTAATCTCCCTGCTTGTTAGGTGAATTGTGAACCACAAGCTTTACGCTACAAAATACACTCTGAGATTTGTATCCATAAAACTTCTTACAGTGCTGATCCAAAGGCATCATCACTACTGACACTGAATCATAGATGATACCTGGCACTTTATGAAAAACAGGGGAAGAGGTTCACAGTCTATAGACACCCAAAGTCTAAGCAGTTAAGGATCCAGAGAAAGACTAGGGAAATACAGAAATAAATAAGCTTAAGCAGAAGTGAGCTAAAAGCAGAACTTAAAATGGAAAGTTTCCATGACCTCTTGAAGAGAAGCATCCCTATACCAGAGTATGCCGTTTCTTTCTAAACAGTTGAGTTTAGAAGCTAGTATTACTTTTAGCAAGTTTATGACTTAATTTTTTAGAGCTGTTTTGGAAACAGTGGCTTTCGTAATTGGAGGAACAGACAACTAGTTCATAGAGGCAATGTGGAGTTAAAATCCACATCTCTGTGTTTCAAGTACGTGGAACTGAGAACAAGGACAGGATAACTGGGAGCTTTAACTCAGAAATGCATCCTGCTTCAAGTTGGTTCTCTGTAGCTATTTCCTCTCCCTCAGCTGTTTTCTTGGCCTGTCCCTCAGATGTTCCTGCCTGTCCATCCAGCAAGGGTGTCATATTCACTGACAAGGCAGCCACTGAACTGCTGCAGATTGTAGCTTTGCTTCTTAAAGAGTCTGCAGCATTTTACCTTAATATGCTGGACTGTTTGTTTTATGTTTGTTTTATATTTGTTTCTAAAGTAAAAGTAGGAAACTTGCAAAATAAATAAATACAAATCATAACTAAATGAGCATTTCTGTAGGCAGGAGACTGTTCTCTGCACACATACATAAGATAACAAAATCTCACCTGTTTCTGTGTATCTGAGAATTTCTGGTTTTCCTGAAAGCAATTAGTCAGCTGTTAAGAGGAAAACAAGAATAATAAATGTTAGAAGCAAAACATGGGTTTTTAAACTATCAGTTAAAATAGTTAAAAGCTGTATTTTTAAAGAAGTTGTAATGATATCCGAGTCCTTCCCAAGGTGACTTTTACCCCAGTTCCCCTGAATTGTATCAGGTAGCATGCTGTTCGAGACAAAGGAGTGAATACGACTTGCTTGTCACTGAATGGGATACATGTCTTCCCTCCCTCTCCACCCTGCAGCAGAAACGACTGAGATTTAATTAGAGCTAATCAAAACCAGCTCCCAAAAACCAAATATGATTGAAAATTGTTTTCATAATTATGCAATGGTTTCAATGATATTTCTTAATGAATCTTTTTCATATAACACTGGAAAACATTTTAAACCTGATTTTATTGGTCTTTTTGAAGGGCATTAGGACTTTTTAGTCTGATAGAGAGTCTGTGGCCTCCGGTAGTGCCTGTAAAAGTTCCTGGACAAAGTCAAGAGTCTGAAGCGGTAAGTCTTCTTATGCTGGAAATTATTTTTTTTTCACTTACAGCTACTATTTTTGTTGGTATTTTATTCATGTTTACTTTGAGAATCACATTCTCTCCCTCTCTTCTGCTACAGAGTTTTGGTTTACTGGTTCTGGCAACCTCCTAGGCTAATCTGAAGCCCTCTGGATCAGCAGAATCTTTCAAAAATTATGCACTTAGCCCCTTAGTCTTCTAGAACTTGAATGATAGAATGTACAGACAAATTGTTCCTTTCCTTGCAAGAGGAAAGATATGTTAGATAGCATGGAGCCAGCTAAGAAATCTGTGTACAAGGGTATTAATTCATTCTTTTGAAGCACTTTTCAGCCTTAGGCTTGAAAGCATTTTTCAAAGATTAACTTCTATGAAGACAGACTGACTGCTGGAATCAGGTCTCTTACTCATTAAGATGAATTTGACTGATACTTGTCTTCTATGAAGAAAATCGAAGGATGAACACAAAAATAGTCTACTAAAAAGTAATTCATGTTTCTGTGATTTTAGGGCATGGGGGGCTACTTAAGTGGATTTAAGGTATTTATTTACACATTTGCAAATCTAAAATTATATCTTTAATTTCCCTTTAATTAGCTTTTGTATTTGTATTTTGTCGTATCAAGTGTCATTCTGATAACATGAGGTCATTTGAGAAGCTTCTGTAGCCAAGTGCTTGCACTGTCCTGCTGTTCTTGTATACACTGTTCTTTGGGGAAGTTGTTTGTGGTATTAAAAACTGGTGTTTGAGCCTAGGGGAGTCAATCAGAGCACAAGTTCTACAAAAAAAGAAAAAGCTGGAAATATATAAGTTTCAAAACCAGAGGACATTAAAGGTGGATATTACTGGTTATTTCTAAAGTCTAAGAATCTTTTCCCTGAAATATGGCATGCTTTGCATTGTGCAGGGGTTTACATTGAAGAATAAACGTTCAGACCTTGGTTATATATAAAACCAAAACTGAAACTGAGTGAAATGGCTGTGTTCTTGACTCTCCCTTTCATCTAGACATTTTGGAAGTCTCAGAAGAATGCATTAAACTACTGTGGACAACAGAATGGTGATACCTACCAATGGAGCAAAGCTCTTAAATGTTGTTTAGCATTGTTCTGACTTTCATTTGTTCTTCATTTTCTCTATTTTTATTAGCAACCAAAAATGGAGGAAGTTTCCTTAATCATGCAATTTACACTTCTGTCATGGGTTTGAAACACTAATTCATCCCACGCAGGAATCACACCTTGCATTTTGCTACTGCAGATTTTTGACCGAGTGGAGTTTTTTCAGTTGAGATACATTTTTCTTGATACAAGTTTCATGTATCATTTTATGCACGGTTTTATGGAAGCAGTTTTATGCATAGGTAGCTAAATAATGCTGTTGTTGGGAAGAGGTCTGTGGAACTGGTTTCTTTTGAGCCATATGTACATTTAAATACTTTCCTTAGTGCTGCCAGGAGCAAACAGAATTTGGGTATCAGCTTCTTTTGCCTTTTTTTTTTCCCTATGCAGAATTTTTTAAATGGGTGGGCAGCCGTCTTTAGTAGAAGTTCATATTTATTTTATTAAATATAATGCTTTGTTAATAACAAACATGGATAGAAGAATATTGTACCATATCCACAATAAAAATTATTTTCTAACATTGTCCTTTTTTTCCTAAGAAGCTTTTCTAGCCTGGGACCTCTCTAAGTGGTGATTAATAATGTTGTTAATTCATGGTACCTTCTAAGGGGCAAATTAAAATCTGGCATAGCACAAAGGGAGCAGTTTTTGTAGCTGTTGTGTTCCTGTTCTTCATTATCTCCTTGTGCTATCCTGGATTTAATTTGGCAGCTTTAAAAGTTTGGCAGCTGTTCACTATCACAAAAACCCACCCACATGCAAAAGTCCCCAAATATCAGGAAAGTTATGGATATTAAAAATAAATAAATAATCAGGACACTCTCTAGCGGGTAATAAAAAAAAAAAATGCAAAAACCACAAGCAGCACCTTGACGTAGTCGCTGTGTTTGCCAAGTGTGTCAGATCATGAGTTGTTTTTGTGATGAAGATCAATGTCAGATTATGGAAGGAATGATACGCTCAAGCTGATTTCACTTACAACTTGTGAATGTCAGTTTATTCACTCAATCTCTTCTTCAGAGAGTCATTGTTATTAACCATGTAATTTTGTTTCCCCATCCCTCTTAAAATGTAAATTGTGTGGTTTGTTCTGGCTATTATTAGAAAACCTGACTGGCCAAATTAAAGTGCCGTTTTTAGGGTCACGTTTCTTTTTCTTACTTTTTCATAGATGACAACTAATCTTGCTCCTCCCAGCTTCTGTTATATTCTTACTGTTCAGTCTGGTGAAGTACATGTGGAAGTGGATGAGGAAGAACAGATTTCTAATTTGTACCAGCCACCAGCTGTTCATGGTTTAAAGGAAATTCTTCGGGTAATCTGCTTTACAAGTCAGATAACAAATACTTTGTACCACTGGATTTCTGGTATCATGTTTGTCTCATTGCCTGTTTCTGTACTGTTTTCAGATGGACGGTTGTAATAAGCGTTGTAGCTTTTGGGCGCAAGTGCTATATCTAAGGCTGCAGGTAATCTTTTCATTTAGCAATGAATTCAACATAAAATCTATATAACGCTTACATTAAGAAGCCAGTATTTGCATTGTTTAAGGGAAAACCAAAACCCTTCCTGGATTATCTTCAAGAGTTGTCCGAACAGAATTAGCACCAGATTTAAAATGCTTGTGGGTGGGCAAAATCTCCAGTTTCAGTGCCATCCAGTCTAGAAAGTGAATTATTTCTGAGTAAAGTGCTATCTAACCAGAGATAATATTGCACCCTTGTAAGAGAGCTTGCAGGAAGTTAGTTGAGACTCAATTTATAGCTAAATGCTATCCTTGCATACACAGCAAAAAGCTCTCAGTTGAGTGTCTCAGGATAGAATGTAACAAATGATGGTTATATGAAAACACAGCTTTGCTCTTTGCATGCAAGTGAGTGGACTATTTTTGTTGAGTTCATTAGAAGCCCTTCAGGCAAATTTGGCTTTTATGGTCCAGTCAGCAGAAGGTAGGAACTCTTAGGTAAATACGTCTGCCATCCATACCATGTGGGAAAGTTTATAATAATGTTTATTTATTTGTTTCTGAATGATGCTACAGTTCTTTTTCAAAATGTTGCTAACTCCCTCAGTAGTTAAAGGAATTTTTTGTTGCTGTTTTATTTATATTTTTTTGGCGACTGGATCCTCAGTATAGCCAGCACTGAATTCTGGTGGAAAATCATTTGCAATTGTCCATCAGCTCCGCAAAAAACGAAGTGTGAATCAAAGCATATGAACGAAAGACAAAGGAATTCCCAAATGGCCAGCAAAATAGCAGGAGATGCTTCCCACCAGTGTGAGACATAAATTTAATTTAGGTCTTGCCCTTTTGCTTCAAAAGCCAGTGAGTTATTATTTGATTTTTAGGCAGGGAGTACTTCTAACTCCCGAGATGGGGGGTATCTGTTGTGTTTTCTCCATGCTAAGTGAGAATTTAACAGAACATTTGCAAGCATGAAATTAGGGCTGGCTTGATGGGATCTTTAGGGTGCTAACAGAAAGATGGACACAGACATGCATGAATCCACGAAACCTGCCCTGTTCAAAAATAAACTAAAATTACAGACTAGTGGTAACCCAACCAAGCATTTTTGTATTCAGGAATGTCTACATCTGAGATGCTGTGGGTCATCAGTATTCTTGTGTAGAAGCACTTCATTCACGAAATTAGAGAAAAGATGAAGCATGCAGAAGCAGATGTGATTTTAATGGAAACTAGCAAAAAAAAGGTCTATGATTTCTTCATGCTACTAGGAGGTTTATGAGCTGGGTTTTTTAGTGGCTATTCACTACTGAACTGTAGGCATTGAATTTTCATAAGTGAACAACATGAGTGTTCGTATTTTTTTTCAGAGTAATGTTGGAAAAGCAATAGCAAATATTATTCTTCTCCTTCTGGATAACTGCTGTAGGATTGTAAGGGTATTTACCTGCATTTATTGTACTGCTTGCCTAATCCTCCCAGAAGAACATGAACAGCAGCTTGCTTACTGCAGCTGCCTTTGCCAAGAAGACATATCCTTCGCATGAAAAGTCATCCAGTCACAATAAGTGAGGAAGGGACTATGATTTAGTTTATTTTGCTGATCTATTATCATTAGATAATCTGTTATGTGAGCTAATTCAAATGTACTTCAAGAACAGTATTTATTCCATGTAGCCACAGTATTCTGAGATAGTTCATTTGTGTGAAGGAGGAATGGAAATACGCTTTTATTATTACTCAGAATCTGTACTGTGGTACAGAAGGAATATGAGGAAATATATTCCATCTGTGGTTAAGGAGCTGTCCTTATAACTCAATCCTGCTGCTATTTGGTGTGTCCTCTCTGTTCAGAACAAATTGTCACACATAGCAAGATGATGATTTTATACTAACTTGTGATTTTTGCTGTTATTATTTACTTTTTGGATGATCCTTCTGAAAGCCAACTTTTAATGTTGTTAGTAATTCTCGTGGGACAGCTGTAAAAATTCTTTCTTTGAAGCTGTCCTAATCCTATCTACACAAAGGAGGTACTCAAATGTATGTAGTTACTAGGCAATGAAACAACGTCAGTGCTACGGGCAGCACATATTGTGTTAAGGCATAACCATAATATCTGAGTTATGAATTTTCCTAGTCATTGTTTACAATTACCGCATTTGCTCTATGAGCTGCTAGCATGAACAAAAAGCTAATTTTAGCGTGATTAATGGTTATTAATGGTTTCAAGGTTTGAATTCAACTGAAGACAAAAAGTTGGGGTTCTCATTGCATTACCTTATGCTAGAGACATGCATCTTCTCAAGAAAATACTTATATGATATGTGTCTCTCCAGTCATTGTAGTATTTCATTTTCATTTAAATGTTTCAAGTAGGACTTTTAATTGGCAGTCTAATTAAAAATAGTAGCAAAACCTTTTTAAATTAAGAAAGTAATTTAATCTTATTTAATTTTTTTCAAATATTAGAATCGTAAAATTTACCAGTTGCTTGAACTGGTGAATGTGAAATATGCTTTGTTATTAAACCCATTTTTTCTAAAGTATGGCAAGATTCACACACGCACACAGATATTATAAAAGCTGTGTTTAAAAATAAACCAAACAAACAAAAAATCAAGAGAGAGAAGAGCATGAATGGTCAAACTGTAACCCATCTGATTTTGGTAGAGACCCTGCAATAAGCACTGATGTGTGTTTAATGTCTGTTTAATCTGTCTTGTTCATCAACCCAGCGTAAAAATTCTAAAAAACACTACTGATTTTCTGATCATTATTTTCAGATTTGGAGGTTGAGACAAAATGTTTTGGTTATGACATCAGTAGTTGTGATGTACCTTAATTTATGTCACACCGTGATATTTTTATACCTCTCGTAGGCAGAAAATTGACATTCTCATTGAGGACTTCTCTCTCTCTGAATTATGAGTTATCTATTTCCCTATTTCTGTGCATCACTCAAATATTTAGAGATGTTTGTTCAACTGAAAAAAACCCTCCAGCTTTGTAATTTGCAGTGGCTATTAGCCAAAGACTGCTCCTATTGGAACCAGACAACAGTACATGGAAAATTCTCTTGCATGCGAATAATAATAGTAGTAATAGCCTTTCTTTTTCTTTTTTTTTAAGGCAAAAATTATGGAAGTCTATTTTCATAAAACCAGACAATTAACTTTATATATATATATACACACACCATATGTCTGATATAAATACTATATATGTAATATAAATGTATAATATACAGTGTATAGATACTGCATACATTTTAAAAATAAAATCTATTTTCAGATCCCTTATGCAGTCCAAATGAGTTATAATAAATTGTGATAACTGGTAGAGGTAAAGCCGGGACTCCAGAAAGTCAGCCTTGGAAAGTTAATTTAAGATAGAGATGTTTGTATCTGCAGTAAGGAGTAACGTCAAATTCAATGAAGCTTTGATTCATTATCCTGTACACACCCTAAATGTAAGGGTTACTGCCAGTTTTATCAGTTATTTAAATATGAGGATGTTGTTTTAGTCTTTCCTTCTACTGAAAATTAACAACTGCCTTCCAATTTTGTATCTCTTTTTCTTTTTGGAAATTGTAGACAAAGCAGAGAGTTCCAATAAATCAAAGAGAAATTTGTTTGTTTGTGACTGACTCGACATTGCAAAATGTGGTTCATATGATTCCAAAAGTTGTTGCCGTGTCAGTCGCTGCCTCGTGTGTTCTCAGTGCAGAAATCACAGAAGCCCTCAGTGTTACCTCACAGCTTGTCTTCTTCAAGGATGCACTGTGGGGAAATGGTAAGTTTTCCACATGGTCTTGAAGCAGTTGTAATTAAACTGAAATAGCTTCCTAATCTCTGCCACTGCAATATGTGACCTACAGAGACTTTTGTTTTCAGATGAAGATGAGACAAGTTTGGGATAAGAAATTTGAAAGGGGTTGTAATTAATTAGAGCTTTCAGTAAGATTTATTTTTTGTGGTTTTGGGTTGCTCTCCAAGGTAAATGAGAAATTCTGTGATCTTGCTGTTATGTCCACCAGTATTACTGTCAGTCTTCCTTGATGACTGTTGAATCTGATGACCAGTGTCACATAAATTTTCTAGCTGTCAGAAGACTCAAAAATACTAAGGAACTTGGTTTTATTTGTTTTGATATTCTTGCAGAAACTTTTATTGACCTTAACTGCTTCTAAAAGTAGAAGAGGCTTGCACATCCCTAAATATAGAAATGTTATAAACTCCCGTGTACAATCTTAGCTGTGAGCCTTCGCCACCATACAAATCATGTAATGATGGTAGTTCACTTTACACTCATTTCTAGTCACTCTTTTTTGAGGTTCAGGTATGGTTCTGTATGATGCCTGGATGGGTAGTTCACATCTCACACCTTCAGTCACTTCCAAAATGTGGAAGTGAATATTTGATGGAGTAACTGAAGTACCAAGCTGTGTGTCCTGAAGCAAAATTCTCTGCTTTGGTGAATAAAACATTGCATGCACCTATTCTTTGTCATCTTTGAAACAAACTAAGACCACCTGAAAGGGTGCACAAGCTTATTACCAGGGAAGAGATGGTAACATTGTGTTTGCAGGGATTATGGTGTGATGAAGTGCAGGTGGAATCATACTCTTTTTTGCCCTGGGAGTTGCAAAGTGTACCGAGAGCATGATGCATGTATCACTGAAAGCAAAATGTTTTGTCGTTGAGAAAACCTGATGAAGTCTATCCATCTGTTTAGTAGCTGGCAGATGTCGTTGTCATTATTGGCCATGGCAGTTATCATGGTCACCTTTTTCCTTGTTACTGTACTGAGTTGAAATGTCTTTGTTGGCAGGTAGGATTATTTGTGTTGAACGTACTGTTCTCTTATTACAAAAGCCTCTTTTGTACTCGGCTGCCGTTGCTGACCTCAGTGAGCTGACTGGCCCTGTCAGACTCGATGAGCTGGATTCTACAACACAGGCCAACTCCATTTGTGCTGTAAGAGGTTCGTATGGCCTTTCCTGAAGTGAATGCAGTTAATTATTTGTGCTCACTTTAATCTTTTGTGTCTTTGTATTGATTTCTTTTACGAACAGTGCAGAGGGATAAAAAAGCACAGTGTTGCTGAGGGTCATTAGGGTATTTAAGTTTTTATACTTCTTTGTGGGCTCTGTTTGCCTTTTGCTCGCCAAGCTCTGCTCCCACTCATTCATACCCCAAAATAAATGTTTAATGCATCATCTGTTATATTATAGTCCTTCCTTCACTGTCTTTTTTCAGGAGCCTTCTGTTCACACCAGCGTTGTTGATGTTGGCAACAATAAGGTATACCAGTATTTTTTAGGCAGATGGATAAGACACGTTAGCCAGATCCTGGATGGTGTGGGTTACTTACTGATTTCCCTGGAGCTTTGCTGCAGTGGGGCAATTTAATATTTCGTCATAGTCATCAAGCATAACTTGGCCAGTATTTGGTCACGGGCCACTTCAGATCATAGCTTCTAACATTTCAGTTCTACCACTAACCATGCAGAAACATTTCTTACAATGTATTTTCTATCATTTCCCAATCACGCAAAAATATTTCCTACAGTGTATTTTCTAATACTTTGTCCAGTCATCTTCTTAAACCTCCCAGTTGTAGAGTGCCTATAGGGAAAAGTCCTTAAAAACCCAGTAATTCTTGGCTTTTAAAGAGAATGTCCTTTTTTAATTTAATGATTCCATTAGCCATTGTAGAAAATTCTTGATACTATTTGACATTTACACTTTCAAGTATTCACTGGAGCATTTGAAAAGAGCTTTAAAGTAATAGCAAATAAATGTTATAAATGAATCCTTCCAGCTATAGCATGATGCACTGCAAAGCTAGTCTGAAACCACGGAAAGTTGTTACTAAAAATACTTTCTCTTGTGGTAGAGCCACAGGTTAGCAATGCCTCTGTGATTAATAAATGAGCACCTTGCAATGACAAATCTGGAGCTCTGACACTGCATAATGAAAACCAAGCAAAACTAGAGGCACTTCACTCAAAGCCTTGGTTGTTATGTACATCTCACGTTGATTTTGTGAGTTACTTTTAACAATATTTCTGTCACTGGGTGTGAAATCCCTTCCTGCCTTTTTTTTTAACTTCTCCAATAGTTATGCTATTATTAGTCACTTCTGTTAATTTTTTAACTAGGGGAAGAGCCTATCTTCTTTTGTCCTATTGACAGTGTACATAGTAGGATAAATAAAACTTTTCTCTGTCCTTTCTTTTTCCACCTTTGAAAAGAAAATACACGTTTGTGATCTGCTGTGTAAACAAGTACTTACTTTATCCACATGGGAGGTGTCACGCTTTCCCTGTTCTGTATTACAGGTGGAAGAATGACAAAAGGAGAAATTAATCCTACAAGTTTGTATTGCTTAATCAAAATTTGCCCAGGGTAGCTGTTCCCAGTATGTTCCCACACCTTGGTACCAACATAAAATATAACGTGTCTTCTTTAAACCTATGCTAATGCTATATACAAATGATAACTCTCACTTTTATGTGTCAATAAAATCATTTAATAGCATTTAAGATATATATCCACCATTTCAATTAGTGTCTACACCTTTCTACCGAAGAAGTGAAACTAATAATAGCATTAACGCTACTTTATTGGTGGGAGAATATGTATTTGATGGAGTAACCCATAAGGAAAAGTTTATGATCTCTAAAATTCACTCATTGCCTCTGTCTCTTAATCCAGAGAGATGTTAATTGGCTTTCAATAAGAAGGAGTTTCACCTCATTAATTTTCTTTGTTCCTCCTTTCAGTTCCTGTAGTTTTGGACACCTATGTATGCTGTACTTGGGCATCCTTTCACCTAACCCTTAAAGAGGTTACAAAGGCTTTGCTCCACCCCTTTTTGGAGTAGTGCTCCTTCCTGCTCCTTTGCAGTCATTACTGCTCCTCCTGGCTCTCAGGGATTTCGCAGGCTGAGCCTTCCCTATAAAATCTTACTTTTAACCAGTGAAAACTGCAGGTAGTCATTCAAGTCCCCATCCTCAAGTACAGCTATTGGACACAGTGTCAGAGCCTCCAGGAGTGCCAGGACTGCCATGCTGCCTGCCCAGATTTAGATAGATCAGTCATTTTGGGGAAGGAGTATAAATGGGATAAGTTAGCTTGTAGAAAACCCCCCAGCTGGGCTCTGAGGAACCCGGTACAACTCCATAGTGGACCCAGATCTGAGCAGGTGTTTGGACTGGGTGAACTTCAGAGGTTCCTTCCGCATCAAGAAGGGCAATGTTGCAGTCCAGGCAGATCCACTGAGTTTGTCAGGAATCTTTGTTTCAGGGAAGTCCAGTCATATCAGCCCTGGGATAGAGTGTGTTGCTCTTCAACAAATGATTGAAAACCTGTGGTTGTTTTCTATGGGAAGGTTTATACTTCTTTAAAAGATGAGTCTGTGGTTCTCACCTGTGAGCTCAGGCTTAATAGATTATTTTCTTCTCACTATGCATTGCAGAGTAATGTCTAAGCTCTTTTTTGCTGTATAGCAGCAGACAGGATGCCTTAATTTTGACATACTGTTGGCATACATATGTGCAGTTCATACTGCACAGAACTGTTTTTCCTCTTAACTATGCTTAAGAGGAAATTCTAGTTAGTCCATACCACATGTTATGTGGGAATATTACTTGATTAACGGTATTTGCCTAGTATATGACTCACCACCAGTGACATTGGATATTTTCATATTTAAGCCCTTATTCAGGGGTGTGGGTTTTTGTTTTCAGTTTCCCTCTTGAGTGAACAAAATGGGGTCAATCAGCTTACCTGGGTTTCTCTTTTTGATTGAACTTTTCCCCTTCCTGTCCATTAATCAGGGTAGCCGACTAGAGAAAAAAAAAGAAAAAGAAAACGAAAAGGAAAAAGTTGAAAGTTTCAACCATTGTGCTGAAAAAGGGTTACTTTTTTTCCTCAGCCCTCCTTTGCACTCCTCACCAGAGACCTGCTTTTCCAGGTGTTGTTCTATTATCAGTCTCTTCTCAATGATGTCAGCCACAACCCATAAAAATGGGCTAGAAGTAAAATTGAATTTTGGCTACATGCATGTCCATTTAAAAGAAGAATCTTGGGAACATACCAAAAGGTTTGTGAATGCCAAGCAAAATCTAGAGTCTTGACAAAGATATGCAGCAGTTGAGCAGCTTAAACTTGAGAAATCCCTTTGCAGGACACATGAGATTACTGTGTGCAAGACAAGCTAGATTGTTAGACTTGTTGCTGCTTTGAGTTGTTCTGACTTCAGTGATTTCTGTTGGTTTTCTCAAGGGAACTCTACATTGTCGTCAAAATAAACCACTAGACATAATTTCATCAGTATGATCCTGATTGATTTTCTTCAGATGTACTTATATTACCTGTGCAATGGCATCCTGCAGTTGCACACAACTAGGGGAAAATGAAAAGGCTTAAAAAGAAACAGATCTGTCAGAAAAGGGGATTTTGTTTTGTTTATAAAATGATTTTTTAATGAAGAAGGAAACATATTCAGTGAACTAATTGGTAGCTTTTCCATGAGCAAGAATCAGAATCACTTAGGTTGGAAAAGACCTTTAAGATCATCAAGTCTACCACTAAACCATGTACCTAAGTGCCACATCTACACACCCTTTAAGTACCTCCTGGGATGGTGAATCAACCACTGCCCTGAGCAGCCTGTTCCAATGCTTGACAACCCTGTCTGTGAAGAAATTTTCCCTAACATCAAATCTAAACCTCCCCTGGCACAACTTGAGGCTGTTACCTCTTGTCCTATTGCTTGTTACTTGGGAGAAAAGACCAGTACCCACCTCGCTCCATCCTCCTTTCAGGTAGTTGTAGAAGCGATTATGTCCCCCCCGAGCCTCCTTTTCTCCAGACTAAAGAACCCCAGTTCCCTCAGCTGCTCCTCATCAGACCTGTGCTCCAGGCTCTTCACCAGCTTTGCTGCCCTTTTTTGAACATGCTTCATCACTTTGGTGTCTCTCTTGTAATGAGGGGCCCAGACCTGAACACAGTATTTGAGCTGCAGCCTCATCAGTGCCAAGTGCAGGGGGACAATCACTTCCGTGGTCCTGCTGGCCACACTTTCTGATACAGGCTAGAATGACATTGGCCTTCTTGGCCACCTGGGCACAAGCTGACTCATGTGCGTCTGGCTGTCGACCAACATCTCCAGGTTCTTTTCCGTCAGGCAGCTTCCCAGCCACTCTTCCCCAAGGCTGTAGCATCGCATGGGGTTGTTGTGACACAAGTGCAGGACCTGGCACTGAGCCTTGTTGAACCTCTTACAGATGTCTCTGTAAAGCCTTTTTACCCTCAAACAGATCAACACTCCCACCAACCTGGTGCCTGCAGATATACCGAGAGTACATTCGATTCCCTCATCCACACCGTTAATAAGGATATTAAACAGAACTGCCCCCACTACTGAGCCCGGGGGAACACCACTGCTGACTAGGCGCCAGCTGGATTTAACTCCATTCACCATTCACTCAATTCAAAGAGAAGCATGCCTATGCTGTGGCATAAAGCATCCTACCTTGTAGTAGCAACTACTGGTGGAAACTCCCAATTATCACAAAACCTGAAGAATCAACATTATTCTTGTAACTTGTTATGACAGAATTGCTTATTCCATCAGTGAAATCCGCTTTGTTTCATTGCATGCATAGAAATTGGGTCGTAAATGTTGTATTTGAGAAGTACCTTTCATGATATTCAGACTAGCTGTCTTTTGAATTTCCAAAGAAAATTACAGTTTCATTGTTTATGTGTAGCTCCCTTCTTTCTGTCAGTCCTTGCCCCAAGAGAACCAGGGAAGCAAGGGATTAATACCCTGTCTTACAGACCAGACTGTATAAATGCTCGCTTAGTCTCCAAGGGTTTATTTTATTGAATGTGGTATGAAACTCTGAGATTCTTGCTCAATAGGAGCTGGAATTTTTAGTCTGTACTTCTGTTGTACCAGTGAGGGTTTATTTTAATTTAACTTCGTTCCTACAGGTGATCCACTTTGTGTGCTTCAAAATATTGGATATATTTTCTCCATATATCCAAATAATATTCATAATTTCAGCGTATCGTTGCCATAAAACATAATACGCTCTTTATTGGCTTCTCGTAAAACTCTGAATGTATTTTGTCTTGCCAAAACTAGCAAGGCCCCTTATATTAGTCAAAAGTATCTTTGGCATAGCCTGCTTAGGCACACACTTGAGTCTGTAAGCCAGATCTGATCTCTGTTAAATCAGTAAAAATGAAGAGTAACTCCACTGTTAATGGAATTTAACCTGCATCGTTGTTTTTGAAAGGGATTGGGTTTCTCACTGGTTTGTGTTTCCTAAATATCAATATCAAGCTATCTGACCTGATGTTTTTTATAGCTATTTATTGCCAAAGAAACATCAGAGAACCAGAAAGAAAACAAACAAACAGAAACAGATCAGAAAAGCAATAAAGCCCCAAACCAAAAGAGCTGAACCTGTTTGGAAAGTTAATTATCAATCATCTACCTTCTGGTTCTTTAAGAATGTAACACGCTCTGCAGTACTGTCATCCCTTGTTCGAGGGACGAGTGAGACTGTTGGAAGAGCTGATGCTTGCTCCAACAAGTCTTAAGCTGAGTGTCAGAAAAGATCAAACCTGCTGTGAAGCCAGGAGTGACTGTGTTTGCTAGCTTAACCCATGTATTTTGTAAGAATTTCATGTTCTGCAGGTACTGTTGTTGGAGTTAATGAGAGCACTGCTTTCTCCTGGCCTACCTGTGACAGATGTGGCAATGGAAAGTTGGAACTGTGTCCCCAGGACAGGTGAGAGTCAGCGTGCTCCAGAGCACTCCAGGTGTTTTGCACATGTAGCCATAAGAGCAACAGGTGATGCAATGATTCCTGCAGGCACAGGCTGCACTTTGTTCCTTCCTAGAGCTAAGATGTAGTATTTTTATTGCTGATGAATTGATAAAGCCTGCAAGGTTAGATTAATTTATTAAAAAAGATACAAGTAGATATGAAATGGTTTGAATCACATTTTTTTCAAGCTAATCTTAAAGTGTCACTCATACAGATTTCATAGCCCACTGCATTACAATATTAGTTTCAATAAACATCCACATAAATGGTAGGTCTGATTTTAAGCTCATTTAAAAGTCGCGTTTTGTGTTTGTCTACCGTAGCTTGCCCCCTGTGTACCACCAATTCACCTCACTTTGATATTGAACTGTGAGCTTTGCTGTAAGTGTGAAAGTGTTGTGTTTCAGACCTATTAAATTGATAACCTTTCTAAAAAGGATGTCAGATGGGTCTGGGAGTACAACTGTCCCAGTCGTGAAGACTGATCCTGGAGGACCTGTTACCACCCAAAATGCTAAACCTGCATCACACTTGCATGCTCTTGGAAAGCCTCTCTTTCAGCTGCTTAGCCATCTTGCTCTTGCAGAGTCTGAGATACCTGACAGAGTAAAAGCATGAGAGGATTAGAGAGAGTAAAAAGTATGAAAGGGGGCTTCTTTCTCCTGGAAAAACCCACAAAAAGCCTAAGGAGAAGTTTGTCATGCTTGATTCCACTGAAATAGATAACGTTTTCCTAAATATGAGAAGCTTTACCTTTTACGCTTTGTTGCATATAGCCTGGGGGGGGGGAAAAGCTGAAAATTAAAGTTGTCCTATATTCTACTATCATGCAAAAAAATAAAGATGTATGCTTACATAGTAGTGTAGTTTAACAAAAAAGTATCTGTACTGTGAAGGACTCTCTGCTTCGTTTGGAGAACAATGTACCATCAATATTTGTTTAAGAAGTTATTCCAACAAGCACTTAGAGCTGAGCTTTATTTTATGCATATAACTTAAGCATGTGCTGAAAATGTTGAATGTTTGCTGAACAAGGGCCTAAATCAATAAGTCACTTGGGCCAAATCTATACTACACATTCTCTCTTGCCATAACTTCTAGAAGGTTATGGGATTAATATTTGCTTAAGTGAGGTGACTGTAAATAGCAACCTCCCACCATGTTGCCAAAACGTATAAAAGGAAGATCGTTTTGCTAGAAGATTGGGTCTCTCTCCAAGACAGTTACTTAGCTCTGCCAACAGAGAGCCCTATTTGCTGTTACCAACTGCATTTCTACCAGGACTTTCCTACCAGCAGTCTACCAGCAAAGTATTTTAGAGAATAAGCTAGCTGGTTTCTTGTGTGTTTTCATTTACAGCTGATAGCTTTTCCATTTCTGTTTTTCCATCATCACTGGTGTATTTCAGAGGATTGCTGTATTGCAGCCAGTGCTCTGAAGTTGTCATTTCACCAGTTTTGAAAATGCAGCTGGAAGTCTTCTTGAGTTGTTCATCCCGACCTCAAAGTACAGTAAAAGTGAAGGTATGGCATGAAATGAGCTTCGGTGTATTGAGTATGGTGAGACTGGATACATAGATCTTAAAGCCACATATGTAGGTACTTTAAGCCGTGGTTCTCTAAACAGCTCTGTCGGAAGAAAAATCCTATAATTTAATCTGATAATAAACTTGTGTTTCCTTGGACTAAGAACCCAGTTCCCAGCTCTTACTCAAATAATACAGTCATTGAGTCCACCCTGAGGTTTGCAAACTGGTTTATGGTCCAGCTGAAGGGCTTTGTTGGGTTGGGCCAGTCTCCACAGCCTACAGGAATGTGTATTTTTAGACTCCCATTCTGAACATCTTCTATGTCACCTCTCCTCTGCTTTCTTGGCCAGAGAAGCAAAACCATTCTATGTTAAAATGATAAATCTTTGTTCAATGTGACTGTTTTAACCTGTGAACAGCATGTCTCTGCATATGTAGGATTTTTTTTGTTGTGACCAAAACCTGTTCATTTTCTCATTCCAGCTGTTACAGAAGACAATCTCTTCCCTCCTGATGTCCTCTGCCAGTGAGAATGGGGTAGGTATAATGAATGTTGATGAAAGAAAGTTAAACTACATCATAACTTACTGTAGAGGCAGAGGGCAGGAGACATGAACTGGGTGGAAAGATACTCAAATCGTAGAAATGAAAGGGATTCCTGGAGGTCATTGTCTGACCTAGCACTCACACTGGGCTATTGCCAGTGGTCAGTTGTGACTTTGGCTGGTAGGGTCTTGAAAACCTCCAGGGATGGAGGTTCTGCCTTTCCAGGCAGCTTGTTTCAGAACTGCACGAGGAGTGGCAAGAGGTTTCTCTAGAAACAATGAACTACTTTTTTCATGTCCACGCTGGGATTGGAGCCGCCTGGGCCCTTTGGCAATGCCATCTCCCACCTGCTATCACATGGCACCCTCCTTTTTAGAAGAGGGATGCTGCAGATGGGCTGTGTAGACAACTTTAGCTCAGCTGAAGATCTGCAGATGCAGATACATACTGCAAGCAGTAGTATGGCCAGACATTCAGAGCTGCAGTGGGCAATGCTGGGCTTTACTTCATTTTCTGGCTGAGGATCCAAAGACAGCAAAGATACAGTCCAAGCATCCCACCTTTTGGGGCTGGTCTTCCAACCTCTGTATAACAACTACTGTCTAATAGCACAACTATTGGCAGGTGGAATTGTGGAGAAATTTGCAAAATGCGTGCAAGAAAATGCTCTATAACTGTATGAATGAAAGACACATAAACCATGGGGGATCTGTGGGCTGAAGTGCAGTTTAGGTAATTGCGAAGGAGTCATTCCTTTCATCTGAGATATCAGAAGAACCCTGACATTTGGCACACTGACCCAGATTTATCACAGGTGAGGGAGGCACTGGGTAGGTGAATGGCTGGCATTGGCTGCCGGATGGTCAGCAGCAAAGGAGTGGCACCTTCAGAGGGTGATTAAGTCCAATTAGGATGCTGAGATTCCCCCCTCTCCATTGCATGTGGAAGGGAGCAAAGGGCAGCTCGTCATGTTTAATCACACCAGTTAAACATCTTCAGTTAGATGACGCATTGGGGTCATTTTGCTTTCCATCTTACACAGTCTTCTAGCATGCTGCTATTACATGCTCCGTGCTTTTAATGGATTTAATGGTAATATTTAAAGTGGAGCGTTGCTCTGAAATGATAAATTATTTTTCTTATGCTGGAGGGTGTGCATTTCATTTAAGCAAAGGTATACAAGAAATTCCCCAAATATGCTTGCTCTTTTAATACGCAGTTAAGTTGTACGGGATGTGTCTGGTTTGGTTACAGACTGACAAAACACAGTTCTTTTTTGAGTTATTAGAATTCAACCAACCTCTTTTTCATGTTTCAGTTTTTATAATGCTAGTATTTGCAAGTTGGCAACTTGGAAACATTTTTTTTCCCCTAGCTGAAATGCAGGAATATTTTTTTCCTTTTTTTTTTTTTTTCCACAAGCATTTCCATCTCTGAACCAGTGCATTTTATCTCAACAAAGATGAATCACGAAAAATACCACTTGAGGTGGCATTTTTTTGCCGTTGCTGCTAAAGTTTCTAAGGATGTAGCTTTGTAATCACTTCTTTTGGGCGGGAGGTTGGTTTTAGCTGTCAGTGGCCCTAGCCACTTGTTCCTTACTTTGTGTCAGCCCATCTGTTACACCAGTATAGCTGTTTGTGCAGCTGCGTGGTGAACTGAACTGCAGAACCAGTCTGGGGTAAAAATAAATGGGGGGGAATAAAAAAAGGTATGTTTATACCTTGAAGCAGGCAACAGGCATGGCTATCCCATACCTGTACAGATTCACAGCCCAGATGAAAGTGGAGGCATGGGCAGAGGCCAGTTTTAGGCAAGTCCCATTGAGGAAAGAAATCACAGAATCTTAGAATGGTTTGGGTTGGAAGGGACCTTAAAAGTCATCCAGTTCCAACCCCCCTGCCATGGGCAGGGACACCTTCCACCAGGTTGCTCATAGCTCTGTCCAACCTTGAACACTGCCAGGGATGGATGGGGCAGCCACAGCTTCTCTGGGCAACCTGTGCCAGTGCCTCACCACCCTCATAGTGAACTTCTTTCTATTATCTAATTTAAATCTCCTCCCTTTCAGTTTAAAGCCATTCCCGCTTGTTCTGTCACTACAGGCCCTTGTAAAATGTCCCTCTCCAGATTTTTTGTAGGCCCCTTTCGGTACTGGAAGGCTGCTCCTAAGGTCACCCCAGAGCCTTCTCTTTTCCAGGCTGAGCAAGCCAAATTCTCTCAGCCTGTCCAATAGGAGAGGCACTCCAGCCCCCCGATCATCTTCACGGCTTTTCTCTGGACGTGCTCCAACATCCCTCGTGTTAGGGGCCCTAGAGCTGGACGCAGTACTACAGGTGGGATGTCATGAGAGTAGAGGGGGAGAATCACCTCCTTCAGCCTGCTGGCCATGCTCCTTTTGATGCAGCCCAACATAGGATTGGCTTACATGGATATAACCTGCAATCTAAGAAATGCTCTCAAGCCAAGCATCAGCTGTCATTGCTGCCAGTGCTTCTGTTAACACGCTGTCTCCTTTTAGAGGAATCACCCCATCCCTCACCTCCAGACAGAGTACAGTCTCTATGGATCTGCTCAGGCACTACTCATGTGGGTAAACTGCCAGTCAGGTCATTAAACAGCAGGGACCATGTAGGTGCTGGCGATTGTACAGGACAAAGTGTGTGTGTAGGGGTGCATAAAATGAGTTGTTACAAAATATTTTTTCCTTTGTTGGCTCTGTTACCTGAGGTAATTGATACCTAGTTTGTACATACACATTGCTAGCACATTTCTGTGAGTGTCAGAAAGCTAGGTAAAGGGAGCACATGTAGGTTGTTATGCTTCAACAAACTCGAGTTCAAGCTCACAGTAGCTTTCTTTATTATTATATTTAACCAGCTCCTATTTAAAAGCCTGGTAGGGAAGCAGCACGTGAAGCAGGAGATCTAGTTACTGAAAATCTAATGGATTAAATCCTTTCTGTCACTTCCAATGCACCTTTCTTTCTGAGTCCTTAAAAAAATTGTCTGTTGGAAGAGGACCTTAACACCCTGCATCTTCCCAGCCGAATGCTGCTTGGAACAGAATGTCCAGGACTGTTTGTTTTAATCAACATGCTTTTATCACTGCAGAGTTATGAGGTGCAGAGCGTGCTGGGAAAGGAGGTGGGGTTATTGAACTGCTACGTCCGCTCCGTAACCAGCCACCCCAACTGCATTGCACTGGAGGAAATTGTTCTTCTGGAAGCAGCAGCAAGACATTGAGTTGAACTCGTCAGCTATTATAGTATCTGTGGACTTTGTAATGTGGTTATCTGTTAACTAGTGCCACCGATAATGTAGAAAGCAAGCATGATAAGTATTCAGATAGTTTATTAAAACTGCGATTTACAAAGCACATTGTGTGAATCCTGGAGAAGTACCTATACAAAAGAAATCTGTTCAACTTTCTGTACTCTGCTTTTTTGGATCAGTTCAGCATTAAGGAATACCATTCTTCGGTGTGTTCACTGTTGATGTGTGGAAACCAACTCACTTGGAAGTTTGAATGGTTGTGAATATTTTTTCTTTTTTATAATACTGTATTATGTGTAGAGGGAATATATTTTACTGATATTTTCGAAATAAATACCTTGCTATAGGCAGTGAACATTGGTCTAAGCTGAGTTTTATCAGTGGATTTCAGATGTACTGCTGGCTGCACCAGTTCTGAGTTGTAACATTTGTTATCACATTGCAATAAACGTTATAAAAATGGAGATTTGAATGAAGCTTATGTTTTAAAGTGTCAAGCACATATAAAGTTAATGTTTCACAGCTAATTGGTCTCTGAGCATAGAAGTACCGTGTTATCTGTAGCTTCCCACAGAGCGGGTGTTTCATTATGATTTCTCTTATGGGTAACAAACAGACTGTTTTGTAGGCCACATATATATCCTCACCCAGACTGTACAGAGACAGGGATTACAGATCAGATAAATAATACCAAAATCTTCCTATGTATGCATTGTTGGAGATATGAGAGTCCAGTCAGACATTAGATTTTCCCCCCCCCTTCCCCTTCCACAGTATTTAAAACCCATTTACAGGTCAGAGGAGGAAGAATGAATGGTTTTGCACAGATCCTGTATGTGATCACCCAGCAGAAAAGGAACAGCAAGCCTGTTGCTGCACTGATCATTCCTGCGGCTGTGGCCGATAGTGGAAAGTTTTACATACGTCACGATTGCCCAGCTTTTGAATCCCCCTTTTTTCCCCTCTTGTCTGTTTCGGTCTTTTACCTACCTCCCCATAAGGAAAAAGGGGATGTCAGCCCATTCCTGCATAGAGGACACTGCTCTGTCCAAGACCAGGGTCACCCCTCGGAAGCCAGTAAGGTTCCTCTCTCAGAAAGTGCTGGCTGTGGAGGTGCTGGTCCCACCAGGCCATGTTTGTGCCAGTGCCCTGCAGATGCTGTCACTTCGTGCGCGCACTAATAAAACTCAGACAAGTTGCTTAACCCTTTGTAACAGTTACTCGGTGTTGTTGCCCGCTCTCGCTTTCACTAGCAGGGATCAGTGAAAGTGGCCAGCTCGCAATAGCCCACAGCGGGCTGAAGTGCATGGACCCAACACCACCTCCCTTGAGCCCACATCTGGTTCAAGCTTAGCGGTAATGTTCAGGAGCGTTAGTGGAGGTGCAGCTTCGGAAAAATGCTTCGAGGTTTCTTAGCAGGAACGTCAACTAACAGTGCTCTATGTTCAGGTAGGCTTTTTGTTATCATTAATGCTCTGTTTCTGGAGGGGTCCCGGCGCCACGGCAGCCCCCATAGCATGGTCTGTGCCATGTGCCACCGCTACTCGGCCCCGACAGCTCAGCGCCAGCAGCTGACTCAGCAGTTCGGCCCAGCCGCGCAGCTCCCGGGACAAACAGACTTTTGTACCCACCACCTGCGAGAGCCTCAGCGGCTCCCGCCAACCACTGCACCTCCCTGAGGCTGCTGTAGAACCAAACGAGCCCCCCCCGCTCGCCCTCACCATCCCGCTTCGGCTGCGGGAGCCCCTTCCGAGGGCTACCCCCCCTCCCCCGCCGCCTTCGCCATACAGAGCAAACGAGAGCAGGGTTGTTTTAAAATGCTTTTTGTTCTTTTATTCCTAGAAATGCTGTAAAAATTGATATAAAAGGTCGAGCATGCTCAGTCTCTCTGGGTTTTCATCCTACTCCCTAAAATACATGTGGGGTTGAATCATTTTAACAGATGTACCATAGCTGCATCGGTATGAGTAAAATGTAGAAAAGATGAAAACTACCATTACAAAAATAATTTAAGGGGAGAGAAGAAAATATATATATATATATTTAGCTTTTTTCTTTTTTTTTTTTTTTTGCAAGTTTCGTGGTGCAAGACCCGGGCCCGGCCCCGCGTCGCTCCGACGCTCCGCAAGCGGCCGGCGGCTCTCACCGCGGCTTCGCGTCTCCTGCCCCGTCGCCCGGCCCGGCCCGGGACGCCGCGGCCCGGCCCCGCATAGGCTCTGCTCGGCCCGGCGCGGCCGCTGAGGTATTTATTTATCATCCACAGTCACCCGGAGTCCGTCTCTCCGTCCCGCTCCCCGCCCCGGTTACCGGCAGTCGGTGCCCGAGCCGGGCTGCAGGAACGAGGCGCTGGGCAGCTGCTTGAAGAAGTGCCGGAGGCTGGTCAAGTCCCGGGTGAGCTGCTCGATCTTCTTGTGCAGCTTCTCGTTCTCGGCCGAGAGCTCCAGCAGCTTCTGCTGCATCTCCTGGTTGCGCCGCTTCGCCTTGTCGCGGCTCTTGCGCACGGCGATGTTGTTGCGCTCCCGGCGCTGCCGGTACTCGGGGCTAAACCTGTCCACGCACTTCTTGCCGCCCCGCTCCTTCCCGCCGGGGGCCGGCGGGGCAGGGACGCCCTGCCCCGGGCCGGGCAGCGGCGCTGCGGGGCCCGGCGAGCGGGTGCTGCAGCTGGACGGGGAGCTGCTGCCCGGCGGCTCGGGCGAGGTGGGCGGCGTGGGCTGCCCGCTCAGGTTCATGATGGTCTGCGCGCAGGTGGCGATCTGCGACGGCAGCAGCGAGGAGGACAGGTCGCTGTCGCTCCAGTCCGGCTCCTGCTTCAGCGCGCCGCGGGAGGAGGAAGAGGAGGAGGAGGAGGAAGAGGAGGAGGACGAGGAGGCGGTGCGGGGCTCGGCGCCCAGCAGGGTGGTCATGGCAGCGCCGAGGTCCTTGGCGGGGTCGCGGCCGGCGCCGCCGCCCGGCGGCAAGTACTCGCCGTAGTCCCCGCCCCGCTCGGGCTTGTGGTTGCTGTTGAAGAGGTCGGCGAAGAGCTCGTCGTTGCAGAGCTCCAGGTTGGGCACGGCCGACATGGAGTCAATGTAGGAGCTGAAGTCGATGGCGCTCTCGTCCTCATACATGGCCGGGGCGGCGGCGCTCAGCTCCGCCAGGTTGGTGCCGCTGCCCCCCAGGCCGCCCCCTGCCTCCTCGCCGCTCATCCCGCAGCCGCCGCGGCCCCCCGGCTTGCAGGCGGGACCGGGCCCGCCGCCGCTGCCCACCTTGGCGTCGTAGAAGTTGGCGGGCTCCAGGCACCAGCTCTTATAGCATGCCGGGGAGTCCAGGCTGTAGAGAGTGGCGGCGCTCATCGGCCAGCGGGACGAGGCGCCGCACGGTCGCGGCAGAGGGGCTCCTGACCGCGGGCACCAACCTCCGCTCCGCGGTGATAGCAGCTCCAGTCTCCGCCACGGGCAGGTGGGGAGCGGGGCTGGTGCTCCTGCTGGTGCTGCTGCTTGTACTGGTGGTGGTGGTACCGGTGCTCCTGATGCGGTCCCGCAGCCGCTTCGCTTCCCCGCGGGGATCGATCCGGACTCGGGTCACGCCGCGCTCGGCGATAGGAAGCGGCTATGGGACAAGGCGTCTCTGGACCTGGGAGCGAAACGCCCGCTCGGTCCCTTCTTATACGGCGCCGGCCCCGCCTCCTGCCCCAATGACGGGGAACCTCGAGTGTTCCCGGCACCCCCGGGGACCGGGGGCGGGAGCGGGTGGGGTGCGCGGCCGCGGAGGCAGGGCTCCCGCCGCGGAGAGCTGCCGCCTCCCGGTGGAGGATAGCCGCGGGCAGGGGGAGACTTCCCTCCGGGGGGGTCAAGCCTAGACTTTTCATCCCGCGGACCTTCGCTCCGTTGGGCGGCTGCCCCCTCCCCGGACCACCCCGTCCCCCCATTCCAGCGCTCCGGTCGAGCGTTAATTTACCCTTTTCCTGTCTTACTTCCACACGGGGCAACGGAAAAGGCTCATTTCACCGCTCCCCCTACACGCTGCACCCACTCCGCACACGTTTCCCCAGAGGCGCCTTGGATGAAGCGCTCCGGGAAGGATGCTGCCTGCCCCACGCATGTCCCTGTGCATCGCCCGAGCGCCCTCCCGAGGCTCCGCTCCTCCCGCTGGAGGAGAGCTGTAACACCCCCGCTCCAGTGACGGGGTGGCTGCTCGGACTTCACCTTGCAGGATGCTCCCGTGGGAAAAGGGCTGTTAAGGCATCTTTAGCTACTTCAGGGTGCCTGCGTGAAGTTAAACCTCTTTAAAAACTTATGGTTAGTCATTACAACCCCTCTCCCTTTCATCCGATTAACAACTACCATTAAATTGGCAAGCATCGGAGAAATGGAACTATTGTAAGTGTGTGAAATAGCTACGTTTTCAAATTACTTAACAGTTTATAGCCCCCTGGCATCACCCGCAGGTGCTCCGCTGCCTGAATTGCAAAACACATGAAAAACCCTTTAAAAATTCCATTTTAAGATTTATTATTTTTTCCCCAGAAGACCTGGCTAGCTTTGTGACACCAGCAGGACTTTGAGCAACCTAGGTGGAGCTTTGAGCAACCTGGTCTAGTGGAGGGTGCCCCTGCCCATGACCAGGGGTTGGAACTGGATGAACTTGAGTGTCCCTTCCAACCCAAATCATTCCATGTTTCTATGTTCAGTGCAGCCACTGGCTTCCCAGCCTAGAGCTCAGATGAAACATGAAGCTCTGCCATGCCACTCGGTGGTGGCTCTCTGGGGAGCGTGGGTATGTGCAGGGCCCATGGCATCTCCCTGGGCAGGGCTCCATCCGGCGGTCCTGCAGCTGTTGCCGTGGCACAGCTGTTTCTCTAAGGGGTATGTATTTTAACAGGAATAGCTGGGACAGGGCTGATCTGCACTCTCCCTTTGGCTCTGAACTCCTTGTGGGAAGCTTGTGGGATCTGGGTAAGTGTTCTCTGCCTGCCAGGTGAGGTTTTGCATCTGGCAGGTAAAGCTTCATGTGGAGGGGCTTGGCTTTATTCTCAGCTGTAGTGCTGCAGTAACCCCGCAGAGACATTACGTTGTTAAATAAACAGACTTGATTTGCTTTGCTCATCAGGGGTTTGACCCTGCAGCCTCATCCCACAGCATTAAGCACTGACAGTGATGCAAGAAGTGGAAACAATTTTCCTCTTCCGCATCTTCAATAAATAACATTCCCCCAAGCCCAGCTTTGCATGTTGTTTTCTGCCCTTCAGCACTGGGGTATATTCACATCGCATGACTCTGTGCCACCTGCTCCTGGCCTGCTGTCTGCAGGGAACATAGTGCTCCTGAACTTTTTTCTCTGCATGAAGTGTAGGAGGGCGGGTGGGAAAATCATGGGAAGGTAGTTCAGAAAGGGAAGGCAATCTGACACGCAGACTCCCTCCCTGCTCTGTGACAGGGTCTGGTATCACCTCACCTGCTGTAGCCATGCAGTGATGGTTTGTCTTGGACAGCGTCTCGTTTTGCTGTTTATGTGGAACTCTGTTGTGCTTTCAGCTTCCGGAAGTCCTTCTCCCCAAAGGGCAGCTGCTCATCAGTGTTGGCGTGCAACTGTGCCAGCCTGGGCAGCCTCGTTTAATGCCCATCATGTGTTACTTCGCAGAGGAGACTCAATTCCCAGCCAGGTCACCCGGCCCCGCTGGGCACCCTGCTGCACAGCAACCAGATTCCCAAAACCCTTCAGAGAGCAGCAACTGCTGGGCACGGACACCCTGCGTAAGCCTCAGTATCTGCCAGCCCTGTCACACCTGAGCCTATCTCGGTGGGTGCAGCTTTGCTTCCAGTGTCTTCAGGACCTGGAGGGGTGTTCAGAGCTCATGGTCAGACCTGTTGATCCCTGCCCCAAAACCGTCCCCTGGAAGGCTGAAGTTGGCTGTGTTTGCTGCTGGGTTGGAGATGCGTGATTTCAGGAGCACATTTTGAGGGGCTCCCACGTGCCACGCAGGGTGCGAGGCCCTGGGGTGGTGAAACACCTGCAGCAAGGCACCCAGGAGTGTGCAAGTAGGTGGTACTTGTCACTTGCCAAAGCACTGGGCTGAAGGCAGGTTGATATCCATCCAAGCTTTGCTGTTTCCTGGATGGATTTGTCTGGCACTTCAGCACCTGAATCTGTTCCCATCTGCACAAGTACTTTCATGAGCAGAGAAGCAGAGACAAGCCCTTGATTCCCTCACCCACGCTGCTGAGTACCGGACCCACCGAATTCTGGCTTACCTCTGGGATCTTGTAAGCTCACACAGCGTGAGAAACATTCTGAGCATCTGAATTTCAGAATGATTTCTTCAAAACCTCTTTGGGGTTCCTGCTCCAAGTGAAGGCGAGAGGAGCGTTTAAACCTGGGCAGAAAGGGACAAGAACCCTTTCTCTAGAAAGAAACCTTTGCATAGAAAGAACAAAACCTTACGTTACTTGGAGAGCTGGCAGTGAACCCAGAGCAGCACCAGGACCCTGAGCAAGTCCTTCAGGTACAGGAATTAAATCACACTGTACTTCTGACTAGTTTTTCCTCATAAACAAGGGACAGGCCACTCAGGGAAGGTGAGTAATCAGGCCAACACTTCAGCCTGGCTTTAATCCCCACCATCCTCCTTCCTGCATGCTCATCTCTGGCCAGAAGTGCAGGACTTTTTGGAACAGCAGGGCTGGGAGCCTGCCGAGGCTGGGCTGGTCCTGCAGAGCCTAAAGAGCCCTTCACTGCTCTTGGGGTGCTACAGGGCTGAGGGGAGCTAGCTCCCGGGGGATTCATGGCCTCGGGCAAGGCAGCCGCAGGAGGGACACCTACCTTATCCTCAGTCCAGCACCGGGTTTCACAGGGAAAGGCTGGCAGGATGCTGACAATGGGGAAAAGGTGCAGAGGCGGTTTGCCCGGTTTTCTCCTCCCCCCACAGAGAAGCAGGTGCGTGATGATCGTTTAATTCAACAGGCAGAAGCCAGGACCGGCACTCGGGGGCTGACCCGGGAATGGGACATGCAGATGAGGAGGTGCAAGTTGTTTGAGTCAAAAAGCTGCCACACTCTCCTAGGGAGACACTACCTCCTTGAGGCTGGTGTTGGCTCTCATTAGGTAGCACAGTGACTGCTCGACAGACCCTCCCTATCCCTCATCCCACCCCTGCCGAGGCTCCTGCCTTTCTCGTGTCTCCGGTCTCTGCAACAGTATTTTGCTCACCACAGCCCTTGTACTCACTCGGGTCAGCTCACTGCAAATTCAGACTGCGGCCCCCCTGCTCCAAGGGAATGAAGAACTTGCTGGTAAGTGGAAGGATTCTTCCTTTTAGCTTGGTTAATGCCTGTGCTCTGACTGCCTGCAGGTTGCTCAGCAGCACCTGTAGCTGCTGAATTAAATCTTCCACCCTGGGCTCCCGAAAGGCCGCAGTGAAATGCTTCAGACCCTGTGCTCTTTGTTTCCTCGTGCTCTGTGGTGGACGCGCTGAACCTTTCCTGTCAAGGGGTTTTGCATGAGGTCCCGTTAGGGATGAGATTCATGAGCTCCAATTTGCAGCTACATCTTCTGCCTAACTAAGTGCAATCTTGCACAGTATCATTTATTGTGGGTTTAATGGACAGGTAGAGCGAGTGCTCCTCTCTCCTGTCCCACCAGAAAGGAAAACACCCCCACTGTAAATAGAGTGGAAACTGTAACCCAACCTGTTCCAGTCCTTTCGGGCCACTCCTTCCTGAACTGTCTGCAACAAGAAAATCTCTAAACCCCTTATTCTGGGCTCTGTTGGTTTAATGTAAGGGGGGTAACTCTTTGGTAGCTTTTCTACAAGATCAGAGGCACTATTCGGTGCTGTGTGTGGCTGCCAGGGCATGGCCTTTCTGCACAGGTGCCATTTCTCACAAGCAGCTTGAAGTTTTTAAACCCCAGGTCATTTCCAGCTGAAGCGTATGGTGTTAATGGAGTGACCCTGCAGACCCTCATCCTCAGTACTTGGGAGGGGGAAAGAGAAAGTGGTTTAAAGTAACCACAATAAATGCTTATTTTAAGTCCCTGATTTTGAAAAACATGAAGTCTGGGGAGGAGTGTCTCTAAATGTAGGCACTGACTTACCTGACATGAGGAAGTGGCTGGCCAAAGCCTTCAGCATGAAGCCGTAGGGAACTCCTTATTCCACGGCTGAGGACAAGCCTCATTCATTGCTCTTGTGGAGAGCTCATAGGCTCCTTCCTAAGCCTAAACATGTGCTGGAGCTGTGCCACATCTCAACAGACACCTCTAGGTAACATTTAAACTGGGGGGCAGTGGTGGGGACTAAGGGAAAATGCTATGACAAGCCCCATGCAGGAACCTCTTTATCAGCTGGGAAAGGAGACTGCAAGCAGCAGAGGTTTCCTCTGTGCTCCGCAGGGTTGTAACTTTGAGTTACGGGGAAGACTGACAGAGGTGGTAAGCACTAGCTTAAACATTAATTTATTCTATACACTAAGAAGAACCTCCTGAGAACCCATACTAATGCTGTGTATAGCTTTTTAGCTGCAACCAGGGAATTTCAGATAGCGTGCACAGCACGTTATTTAATCTGAGAAGAAAATAGTCTGCTGTACTTGTGAAAAGCTACTCAGTTTTGTTTTGCACCAGGAGACCTGAAGCAGTCTCCAACCCTGATAGTCTTTTCTGGAAGCCAAACAAGCCCACCCCATCAAGCACAGAGCCCAGCGACTTGAGGTTTGTGTTGCATCAGAACTTTTCTTGCTGCTTCACAGGCTGGCTTCAGCCCTTTCCTTTCAACTGCCGTGTTTTATTGAGAGCAGCGCCCTTCAGTCAGGATTGGGGACAGCAGCTGTGATTCACGTACGTTGGAGGCTGGTTCCAGGCTCATTCAGCTGCACAAGGAAAGCTCCATGAGGACGATTCTGCTTGCTTCGCATAGGATACATTTCTGCTCGTGAAAACTCGGGAGCTGCGTTTTGCTCATCAGCTGGCACTTGAGCTCAACAAATACACACCTAGTAGCACTAATGTAGCCGAGGCTTCCACATATAGCACTTATTTTTGTGCCAAAATGGAGTTTTTAAGTTATCATGGGCATGTTCTAAGCGCTTTTGCACCACCAAGGTTACTTTCGCCTGTCCAAGTCTTTCTTTCACCCCTGGGCTGAGGGCTTTTCGCTACAGAGAACAGGGCATGGGCCAGGGTTCACCCCAGTTCCTTTCCCAAAGACCAAGGATGGCATCTTCCTGCACACAAACATCTACTGTTGCTGAAGGTATTGAAAGTCCTACAGAAGAGCCTCGTTAAACTATAAACCTAAACTTTGTCCTCCCCAGCACAGGTCAAAGTACCCAGTGAGTATCTGAGATAAGTGCCAGAAGTGAAATTAACACCTCCTACGAGTGGCCACTTGATTTCCAAATGTCCCCTTTGCCGTTTCATGTAGCTTTTTATTGTGCTTTAAACCGTCTTGTATTTATTTGTAGAGTGGCAAGGTGAAAGCTAGGGCACCTCACCTAACCCTAACCAAGACAGTCGTTTTGCTGCTGTCTTGTCTGATACCAGCCATGAACAGAATGAAATGCACCAAGACACCTTACACAAGTGTATATAGACTGTATCACACATGCTTATGAAAAAAATAACCACTGTTCATCAGCTATTGTCTCTATAAATGGGTGTGGGTGTGTTCTGTGATTAAAAAGCCCTGAATTAACTTTCGAAATGAGGTATTGGTCTGAAAGCTTCAACAGACATTTCCTCTACAAAAATACAGCTGAACAATATTTCAAATTAATAAAATCTGATAAAAAGATTCTGAATGTCTTGATTTGTAACACTATTGACCTACTAAATATGCTCAGTTGTTTAAGAGGAAGGTAACAAATAGTAATTGTTGCTGGAAATATTTGAAACAGAAGAGCTCCCTCGCTATCCACTAGACCCCAGTGAGCAATCTTCCCCACCCTGAGTTTTCCCTGGCCTTGTATCCAGGAGGCAGATTCCCAGCTCTCCAGCTGAGATTTATTCATGCCTGGTGCCAGCAGCACTCAAGGACCTCAGTGAGACTGGGCCTGCCCCATCACCACGGAGGCAGGAAGGAAAGACTGCAGGTAGTAAAAGGGCAAGGACTCATTTTTATTATACCTTATATGATAATTATTAAAAGCCCCAATGGAAACTATCTCCTACAATGAACGCTGGGTAATAAAGAACTGTAATATTTGAAAGAACTCTTTTCCCC